CAGTTAGTCAGGTCTCCTTAGGCTCTTCTTGGCTATGACAGTTTCTGACTTTTTGTTTTTCATGACCTTGACAGTTTTGGGTATTGTGGTTAGGTATTTTGCAGAATGTCCCTTAATTTGGGCTTGCTTGAAGCTTTTCTTATGACGAGACTAGGGTTAAGTGTTCTTGGGAGGAAGATTGCAGAGGTGAAGTGCCACTTTCAACACAGCGGTCATACCAGGGTTACGTGGCATCAACACAATTTATTCCTGATATTTACCTGGCTAAGGTAGTATTTGTTACGCTTCTTCATTATAGTTACTTCCTGTCCCCCTTCCCATACTGTACACTTTGGTAGTGAGTAACTAAATATAGCTTCCTGCATTTTGACTTCTTTATAATTTTCCATATTTTCTAAATTTCTACAATAAACACATATTTCCTTAAATATACATTTATTTTATTTATAAGTTTATATTTATAAATAAATTATATATTCATATATTTATGTATAAATATATTTTTATATATTAATCTATATAGTATATATTTATATATAAATTTATATTTATAAGTAAATATATTTATTTTTAGTTTATTTTTATTTAAGATTTTATTTATTTATTTGACAGACAGAAATCACAAGCAGGCAGAGAGACAGGCAGAGAGAGAGGGGGATGCAGGCTCCCTGCCGAGCAGAGAGCCTGATTCGAGGCTCCATCCCAGAACCCTGGGACCATGACCGAGCCAAAGGCAGAGGCTTTAACCCACTGAGCCACCCAGGCACCCCCATAAACCAATTTTAAATCCTACCTATACTTCAGCTCCCTTCTGAAATGTCACTTCTCTTAAGTCCTCCCCACCTCCCCACCTAAGTTAGATGTGGTTTGTCCCATCCTTGTATAATACGGTCCCTATGGCTCTTTTATTCTGTTCTACCTCTACACTAAAATGTTATTTCCCCCACTTGTTTCTACATCCATCTTATTTCAGAAGGGTTTAAGGAGGGGCTCTACTCCTCCCTGTGCCTGCGGCAAGGCCCAGCCTACAAGGGACACAGTCATCCACACTCTTAACATCTTTTTGTTTCTGTCCTGAGGCTCTCTCAGGAACCTGCTCCAGGATCTCTGAGGACACTGAGTATTCCAGCATGATAAACAGCGAAGAAATTACCTTGGAGAGTATAGTTAAACCAGTTTGGTGTTTCTAGTCCACGTGCTGAGGAAAGCATGAAGAAAGCATAATCAGTGGTACAAAGAGAAGCCCCCGAGCCCGCTATTACCTTTGGCCAAGGGCGGAGGAGGCATTCCTGAGCCCACTGAGGTGTGTGGAGACTAGAAACTATAGGCACCAAATTTTCTTCATGTTAAAACAATCTTCGACTCTTTCATACCTTTTTCTTTTGGCTCTCAAAAAATTTTCTTCTGGTTTAGTCCTGGCTTGGCAGAGCCAGAGAGACCACAAGCCCCTCTAGTTAGCACCTTTACTAAGAGCTTTTTCTTTTTTAAGATTTTATTTATTTATTTATTTGAGAGAGGGAGAGAGAGCATGAGAAGGGAGAAGGAGACTCCCCAAGAAGCCGGGAGCCTGATGAGGGACTCGATCCCAGAACTCCAGGATCATGACCTGAGCTGAAGGCAGTGGCTTAACCAACTGAGCCACCCAGGCATCCCCCCCACCCCCGCTTTTTTTTTTTTTTTAAGATTTTATTTGTTTGACAGATCACAAGTAGGCAGAGAGGCAGGCACAGAGAAAGGAGGAAGCAGGCTCCCTGTTGAGTAGAGAGCCCAATGTGGGACTCTATCCCAGGACCCTGAATCATGACCTGAGCCAAAGGCAGAGACTTTAAGCCACTGAGCCACCCAGGCGCCCCTCTAAAGGCTTTTTTTTTTCTTTTTTTTTTTTTTAATTTTATTTATTTGTCAGAGAGAGTGAGCACAGGCAGACAGAGTGGCAGGCAGAGGCAGAGGCAGAGGGAGAAGCAGGCTCCCCGCTGAGCAAGGAGCCCGATGTGGGACTCGATCCCAGGATGCTGGGATCATGACCTGAGCCAAAGGCAGCCGCTTAACCAACTGAGCCACCCAGGCGTCCCTAAAGGCTTTTTCTTAAGATGACATTTTATTTACTTAGGTGCTGTCTGAATCTGAAGCAGGATTCTCTGTAATGTAGCAATTTAGAAAATTCAATGATAAAACAGAAGAGGAAGGGAAATATAAATAATGTTAAGTCATAATCCATATTAAGAAAAAAGATCCAGTTGCCATGTTTACATCTTAATAATCTTCCTGTTATGTTTCTATAATTTTGTAAATGTTTCCAAATGTTATTTGAAAATATTTCCTTGAAGACATCTCCACTCCGGAAGTTTAATCTTAAGGTCTATGGATGTAACCATCAATTTCTAAGCCTTCTTACTTAATTATGAGAAACGTTGCTAGTGTATAATGCCCAGTATGTAAATATCTGAATTTTCATTGTTAGGGAGAAGTGTTTCAGAATGCTATCACAGTCATCTTTCTTTGGCTAAACAAGTGTTAATCACTGACTCTAGCAGATTACATTTGCTTTAAAATGTTGTGAACAGGGGCTCCTGGGTGGCTCAGTCATTAAGCATCTGCATTCGCTAAGGTCATGATCCCGGGGTCCTTGGATATAGTCCTGTATTAGGCTCCTTGCTCAGAGGAAAGCCTGAATCTCCCTCTCTCACTCCCCCGTTTTTGTTCCCTTCCTCGCTGTGTCTCTCTGGGTCAAGTAAAGAAATAAAATCTTAAAAAAAAAAAACAAAAAAAAAAACGCCTTGAACAAGGTCTGTGTTTGCACATATTTTCATTTGCCTCCCAGAGTTGTGAGGATTAAGTGATCGGCATAAAGTTGGTGCCTTGGAAGCGTATTTCCTTCCCCAACTGCTCTCCTTCCTCCTGGACTAAAACCACTGTCACTTCCATGTGTTGCTGTGGTATCAGATTTGTGTCAAGTAAAACCTGCCTCTTCCCACCACTTATTTGTTTTGTAAAATCAGTATCTTTAAAATGACATTTATGGGGCACCTGGGTGGCTCAGTGGGTTAAAGCCTCTGCCTTTGGCTCAGGTCATGATCTCAGGGTCCTGGGATCGAGCCCTACATTGGGCTCTCTGCTCAGCAGGGAGCCTGCTTCCTCCTCTCTCTCTGCCTGACTCTCTGCCTACTTGTGACCTGTCAATAAAATAAAATGACATTTATGCAACAAAACACATTTTTTTTATTGGTATACATACGAATGTTAAAGCAGAATATGTGAAAAGACACATATGAAAATCATCACAAAGATTTTGTGGAGGACGATGGTAGCCTGGGGACTGATGGGCCACTTTGGCTAGATTATTTTGAGCTGAAGTTAATTGAGACCCTGCAGGCTCAAGAGAAACTTTTGCCCTCCCTTAATGACATGGAGGAATCTAAATTGAGGGTCTTTCCCAGAATAAGGGTTATTAACAGAGATAAACTGTATCAGAGTGACCCATCTGTATGGCAGGGCAAACATCTAATTATCAAACATCTTCTCTTTTTATTGCCCTGTGAGCTGCACTCCTTCCCTTCGAAGTCCTAGACCCCAAACCTTTTCTCCTTAGTTCAGGATGATGTTCATACCTCGTTTTGCTTGTCTTGGGAATTTCCATGTCTGTGTGGATTTCCTGTGCATATGCTATCAGATTTGATTTTCTCCTGTTAATCTGTCTCTTGTCAATTTGATTCTTTTTTTAATATATATTTTATTTATTTGACAGAGAGATCACAAGTAGATAGAGAGGCAGGCAGAGAGAGAGAGAGAGGCGGGGGGGGGGGGGGAAGCAGGCTCCCTGCTGAGCAGAGAGCCCGATGCGGGACTCAAATCCCAGGACCCTGAGATCATGACCAGAGCCAAAGGCAGCGGCTTAACCCACTGCGCCACCCAGGCGCCCTTGTCAATTTGATTCTTAGTCCAGTTAGAAGGACCTATGACGGGACAGGAATTCTTGCTCCCTGACAGTAGTGACAGTGGTGTCAACACTGAAAGAAGGAATATCCACTTGTAATGTTCCAATATTTAACCTTTAACAAAGTTGCTTATACTTACGGCTCTCTTTTCATTCCTGACATAATATGTATAGAGACTTTTTTTTTTTAAGATTTAAAAAACATTTCTTTGTGAGAGAGAGAGCAAGCGCACAAGCTGGGGAAGCAGCAGGCAGAGGGAGAAGCAGGCTTCCCACTGAGCAAGGAGCCCCATGTGGGACTCAATCCCAGAACCCTGGGATCAGGACCTGAGCCAAAGGCAGACACTCAACTGACCAAGCCATTCAGGTGTCCCAAATGGAGACTATTTTTAAGGTGATGTCACTTAAAAAGAGAAAGGAATAAAAACCCAAAAGTGTTAAAATAATAAATCAGGTGAACTTTTTTTTTTAAAGATTTATTTATTGGGGCGCCTGGGTGGCTCAGTGGGTTAAAGCCTCTGCCTTTGGCTCAGGTCATGATCCCAGGGTCCTGGGATCGAGCACCGAATCGGGCTGTCTGCTTGGCAGGGAGCCTGCTTCCCTTCCTCTCTCTCTGCCTGCCTCTCTGCCTACTTGTGATCTCTGTCTGTCAGATAAATAAATAAAATCTTTGAAAAATTTTATTTATTTATTTGACAAATAAAATCTTTTAAAAATTTTATTTATTTATTTGACAGACATAAATAAAATCTTTTTAAAATTTTATTTATTTGACAGACATAAATAAAATCTTTTAAAAATTTTATTTATTTGACAGACATAAATAAATAAAATCTTTTAAAAATTTTATTTATTTATTTGACAGACAGATAAATAAATAAAACCTTTAAAAAAATTTATTTATTTATTTGACAGACAGAGATCACAAGTAGGCAGAGAGGCAGGCAAAGAGAGAGGAAGGGAAGCAGGCTCCCTGCAGAGCAGACAGCCCGATGCGGGGCTCGATCCCAGGACCCTGGGATCACGACCTGAGCCGAAGGCTTTAACCCACTGAGCCACCCAGGGGCCCCAGGTGAACTGTCTTTAAGTGTTGTTGCTAGCATATGTTAGTCTCACTCTCCTAACCTTCAAATAGTGGGCTATATTTTCAGGAGAGTCCCCCTAACTTTTCCCCACCAAGTGTTTGTGGAAGAAAGTCTGGAGCTGCTTCCAAGCATCCACCTGGGCCGTGGCATGAGTCCTGGGCTCCCCACCCCAGATGACAGGACCACCCACCAAGGTGTGTAGGGAAGCCCGGCACAGGGGGAAGTAGGGAGGCTCAATGTAGTGTCCTGTCTCAGGGTAACAGATGATCTCAGGCTTCTTCCTACCATGGGCCTGCAAGCGCTTGGAGGCCTCATTAGCATAGAATTCACTCTTCCAGTTGTGGTCATCCTGACCTACAAGGAACAGGAAGGCACTCTCAGCTCTCTCTACAGGAATGAAACTCTTCTGGTCAGCTCCTTCCAAAGGGCTGTTCAGGACATCCACAATGTCTGCCAAGCTGTCTTTGGTCAGCCTTACTCGATTTGGGTCTAAGCCCAGAGGGGGCAAGATCTCATCTTTGTAGTGTAAGGCTCCCCCGACATTGGCCACGGAGCCATTGACTAAGACGGTGGCGGTGATGCCCTTCAGGAACGAGGCCATGGAGAGGCAGAGGTCACCTCCTTTGGAACTGCCAAGCAGCCCGACTCCTGGACCCTTTACCTGAGAAAAGGACAGAGGAGGAAGGAGAATGAGGCCATGAACAGCGCAGTGTGACGAGCAGGGCCTGGAATTGCAACAAAGGGGCAACTGAGCCTGAATCTAGGCTCTACCATTTGCCACGTTTTGCAGTCTTGGGGTATTCACTTACTCTTCCTCTCTATCTTCCTTTCTGCAGTTTCTCTATCATCATTCTTGGTGACTTCAGTAACCACGTGAAGGATATACTCAGTACTCTGGCTTCTCGGCCTCATGCTCCCCTTCCGTCCTGCCACATTTCACTTGCGTTTGCTTTCCACTTCCCTCAAATCCATGGCACACCTCTCCCACAACCTAAAACTTCTTAACCTTTAACCCTGCTCACTTTCACTGTCGCCTCTTTACACCAAATGGAGAAAATAAAGCTCTCCAGTAGGAACTCTGCCTCTTTTCACCCTGTGGGATCTACTTAATTCCACAAGAGCTCAAGCTTTCTACCTTCCCTTGGGTTTCTGAAGCACCTCTGTGCTTATCAAAGGCCCCCCTGCTGCCTGCACTTGCAGTCTCCTCCACTCTCATTCTCCAGGACTTACTCCTGCAACTACATCATCTCCCTCCTCCTTCATCACTTTCTACTCTACTGGCCCATTCCCATGGGCATACTTAATGCTCTGTTTTCACAACAAACCCTTGACCTCACATCCATTCTGCCCTGGTGGGGATCAACTGTCTGAGTTGTTCTTTTTGTCTTCCCTTCCCTACCCCATCCTCTCAGGGTAGTTTGGGTCTGCACTATCCTGCAAGGACTGGTCTTGCCATAGTTACCGACATCTATTACAAATGGCCCTCTGATTCACCACTCAACAGCAATCTTTTTCTCCTTATGGCTTCTACAACAGTACCCTTGACTGGTTTCAACCATTTATTCCTCCTAGGGGAAAAGTACTAGGAAATTAAATGACATATTATTATCATCCCAACTTTTCAGAGGAGGAAAGAGGGCCCGCAAGGTCATGGGGTTAGCTGCCAATTAGTGAAATCAAAACTTAAATTTAGGGGCGCCTGGGTGGCTCAGTGGGTTAAGCCTCTGCCTTTGGCTCAGGTCATGATCCCAGGGTCCTGGGATCAAGCCCGGAATCAGGCTCTCTGCTCAGTGGGGAGCCTGCTTCCCTTCCTCTCTCTCTGCCTGCTTCTCTGCCTACTTGTGATCTCTGTCAAATAAATAAATAAAATCTTAAAAAAAAATATAGTTAACACTGTGGCCTCTCTGAGAGTAGGGTTGTTATGCACAAACATTTAACCTGGGGCCTTCTGGAGATAGTGATTCCAGTTCCCTTTCCCTCTACTTCCTGTATCAAAGCCAGAGTTCTCAAAGATGTTTGGGCTTATTGTGATCTTCTGTAAAATACTGGGATTTAAAATTCCAAACCAACTAAGAACATCTTTACTAGCAGGAAATACAACATAAAATTGCATAGAAATGGTCTACAAGAAGTGACTCTAAATGGTAGTGTGTATTGGAGCCTAGGAGCGGCTGTGGTGAATTTGTCGCATTCTGTGAAAATTAAGAGCAGTTATGAAGACACCGATACATAGATCATAACTCAGAGAAGTTCCAACCTGAGGGTGATCCAGCAGATAGTTGACAGCTTCTTCAAAGTACTCCAGGTGGAGGATCTCCAGGCCTTTGGGGAGGTCTTCATAGTTATGATAAGCCAGAGCCATCACAGCAAAACCCTTGCCAGCCAGCAGACTAGCTCGATGTTCCAGAAGGCCACTTCCAACTCCATAAATGTCCACAATCCCAGGAAAGGGTCCTGGTTCTTTGGAAGAAACAAAACACAAAACTGAACTATTTCCGAAACTCTCTGCAGTGGTGTCAAAAGCCCTGTGTTTCCTACTTGGTGATGTCAAAGTTTTCTGTTGATGATCAGAAATGCTAGAAGCCCTCTAGTCTTCAAGGATCTAGACAGTGGCATAGGCTCAATCCATATTTCCCCTATACCCAGAGCCTCAAAGCACCACAGACTTTTTACAAATAGCGTGCCTTTCTTTTGTAATTAAAAATAATTTACAAGCAGACAATGAAGAGAGCAAAATCATTACCCCCCTGCCCCTCCCACCCAAAGCTAACAATGCCAAATGCTAAGGAGCAGATAGAACACTGCTGGTGGAAATGCAAAATGATACTGCCACTTTGGAAACAGCTGAGAAATGTTTTAGTTAACCACTTACTTACCATATGGTTTAGCAATCTCATTCCTAGGTATTCATCCAAGAGAAGTGAAAATTTGTGTTCACACAGAAACACTTATGTAAGAGTTTGTAGTGACTATTCATCATCTCCAAAGACTTGAAACCCAGCCTGGAAACCCGTCCTTCAACTGTTGAATGAATAAAACTGCTTTTGGGTTTTTGTTGTTGTTTTTAAGAGATTTTATTTATTTATTTAAGAGAGAGAGAGAGAGAGATTGAGAGTGTAGCAGAGACTCCCCTCTGCCTAGGGAGCCTGGGATCACCTCCTGAGCCAAAGGCAGCCATACTCTACCAACTGAGACACCCAGGTGCCCCCTTCACGTTAATTTTCTTAAACCTTAATATATTGTGAGAGTCAGAAGCAAAGTTGCTATACTGAGAAACCATTTAAAAAAAAAAAAAAAAAAGCGCCACCTGGCCAGCTCAGTTGGCAGAGCATGGGAAGCTTGATCTTTGGGTTGTGAATTTGAGCCCCACCTTGAGTATAGAGATTACTTTTTTTTTTTTTTTTAAGATTTTACTTATTTCACAGAGAGAGCACAAGTAAGCAGAGAAACAGTCAGAGGAAGAGGGAGAAGCGGACTCCGGGTGCCCCCAGTGTAGAGATTACTTAAAAATAAAATCTTTTTTAAAAACAATCATTAAAGATTTGGAACTAGAGCGCCTGGGTGGCTCAGTCGGTTAAGCGTCTGCCTTAGCCTCAGGTCCTGATCTCAGGGCCCTGAGATCGAGCCCCCCATCTGGCTCTGCTCAGCGGGGAGTTGGCTTCTCCCTCTCAATTCTCCCTCTGTGCTCTCTCAGAAAAATAAAATCTTTAAAAAAAACCAAACTTGGAACTACCTATAAATGTTTTCGTTTTCACTTACAACTGTCTTTCCCCTTTCCCTATGATGTCTTCTAACTGACCTCTCAATTTTGGAGAGGCAGACCCACCCCCCGCACCAGGGCCGTCTTGGAGGCCCCCAGAAACCTCTGCAATGTTGGGAGCTACCTCCTCACTGTCGGTAGAAGTGCAGGAGACAAGAGAAAGGTAGTGGACTGCCTGGGACCCCGGACGCTCACCTGGGGGCAGGAAGAGCGTGGCGCGCACCCGGCCCGCGCGCACCGGCTCCCGCCGCACGCCCGGCCGCAGGAAGTCGCGCTCGTGCACCGTCCGGCCCAGGACACGACCCGCGTCGGGCTCGTGGCCGTCGAGCACCTCCAGCTCCACGGCGAAGGGCGTCTGCACATCCCGCTTCACGAGCCGCACCAGGGGCTTCTCGGGCTCCAGGGCCCAGAGCAGCCCCATGGGCTCGAGCCCCACGAAGCTGCCGCCCAGCGCGGGCGCGCGCGCCAGGTCCAGGAGGCCACCGGCGTCGGCTTCGTACCGCGCGTGGGCCCGGAAGAGCGCGCCCTTCTCGTCGCGCAGGGACGCGCGCAGCGTGACGGGCTGTCGCGGGGCCAGGCCGCGCACGGCGATGCGCACGGGCTCGTCCCAGCCGCAGCGGCCCGCGGGCTCCAGGGTCCAGGTCGCAGTCTTCCGGGCAAGGGCCCCAGAGACGCGGCCACCATGCCACAGCTGTGGAGACCGTGGCAGGAGGCCCCGTCGGCCGAGTCCGGAAGCTCGCAGGATAGCGCCCGAGGAGGCTACCATCTTGCCTTTGGATTTTGGTTCTCATGTGGTTTAAACAGAGCAGTGAAGAAAGTTAGAAACTGCTCCAAGAGCCTCTAGCGGCGGGCTGCGTCATCTGCACGTTAAGCGCCCCGTGGGGCCGAGTAGCCGGCCAAATTGAGCTTGGAGGGCCAGACTCCTGTCCCGCCAGGTCAGTGACTTACCTGTAAAAGCAAGAGCGAAAATGACACGCATGAACTTGCTTTACGTACTGAAAAACCTGCACTATTGGAGAAGGCTTTCCTAGTTCTGCTTCTGGGAAGCTCATTGGCCCGTGCAGTGTTTCCCCATCAAGAGCTGGCTCTGAAGGGTTCTGGCAGCTGGGAAAGTCTCCAGTCGCCAGTTTTTGTTTTTAATTAATTTTGAGTGGGTTTTTGTTATTTTTCCACTGTTTTTTTTTAAATAATTTTATTTATTTGAGATAGAGCATGAGAACGAGTGGTTGTGGGGGGAGGGGAGAGAGAGAGGGAGAAGCAGGCTGTGCGCTGAGCAGGGAGCCCCATGGGCGGCTGGCACCCTGGGATCAGGATCTGAGACCAAGTCAGGAGCTTCACTCACTGAGCCTACCAGGCGCCCGTCCAGTTGCCAAATTCTTAACAGCTTAGAGGACTGGAATTTTTGGAAAAACTGGAAGAGCACTGGAATTTTTTTTATCAGTTTGCTGAGTAATTTCCTCATTAATTATCATGAGTTTTCGTTAAAAGTGTGCATAATGTGAAGTGTGTAAACCTGGCGATTCACAGACCTGTACCCCTGGGGAAAAATATATGTTTATTAAAAAAAAAAAAAGTGTGCATAATGGTGTTTTGCTTGTGTATTACCTGTGTATAGGCTTATCTTCCACTCCATCCCCACATTTAAGAGGCCTGGAGTTTTACTACATGTGTGACCAGTGCTTTTTTCCTTATATGTATAAAAGTAGACAAATGAGATCATAGCTACTGTACTTAGGCAAATGTTATCTCCCTCTCATCTGGGACGGCTCACCTTTCCCCCACTTTTTCATAAGCTGTGGATGGGTTCCACCTAGTGGTGGATTTTTCACCAAACTTAACTTCCTGCCCTTTTTAAGACCGTATTGGATCTTACGTTCATGATTTTTTTCATATTTATTTGAGAAATCTGCAAAATGTGTAAGCTCCACTCAAGCCCACAAGAGCTGTTTGCCACTGGTCCCATAAGACCACCCCCTTCAAGGACCTTCCCAACCAAGCCTTTTTACCTAGTTTCAAATGTTCTCAGCTCCTGCTGGTTATTAATCATGCGATTCTCTGAAGCTCTAATTAGCGTTGCACTGGTTCTTTGGGATATTTCAGTGTATTTTGTGCACAGAAACTAAAGAAAGTAAATAATAATAGTTCCTAATCCTCTCAAGAGCTTTATGAGAAAATTAAGGCCTCGAGGGAGAGGTGAAGTGATTTGCTGAAGATCAAACCACTAGAAATACTGGGATTTATTTATTTTTAAAGATCTTCTTAATATTTATTTGTCCAAGAGAGATCATACAGTAGGGGGAGTGGCAGAGGGAGAAGCAGGCTCCCCACTGACTTGATCCCAGGACCCTGGGATCACAACCTGAACCGAAGGCAGATACTTAACTAAGTTACCCAGGTGTCCTAAAATACTAGGATTTATATCCTTTTTTTTTTTTTTAAAGATTTTATTTATTTATTTGACAGACAGAGATCACAAGTAGGCAGAGAGGCAGGCAGAGAGAGAGAGAGAGAGAGAGAGGAGGAAGCAGGCTCCCTGCTGAGCAGAGATCCCGATGTGGGGCTCGATCCCAGGACCCTGGGATCATGACCTGAGCCGAAGGCAGAGGCTTTAACCCACTGAGCCACCCAGGGGCCCCCTGGGGCCCTCTGGGATTTATATCTTTGCAGTCAGATTCCAGTCTGTGCTCTGAACCGTTATGCAGCTGTTCTCACATGATATGTCCTATGGTAAAGATTTGTAAAGCAGATACTCATACACTGTTGATGGATTTATGACCTTTTCAGAGCAAACTGGTTGAAAATGTTTAAAAGGTGCATTCTCTTTGACCTTAGGGATTTCTCCTAAGTACTCACGAATGTATGTATATATTGGCCATAAGGATGCTTAGCGTATTGTTTTAATAGAGGAAAAGTTAGAAACCAACCAGCAATATAAATTTGGTCTAATCAGTTTAATTGTGATGCAGTCATATAACAGAAGACATGTAGCCATTAGAGATGTTATAGCAGAATATGATGGGGTAATTTTCATGACACTGAAAGCAGGTAGAGATCCATATAACCTTTAAAAATGTGTGTCAATACATTAAAAAAAAAGTAGACTAGTCAGCAGTTATCCACACTGTTGTTTCTTAGGAATTGGAGTATTTTGGGTAGTTTTAATTTTCTTCTTTACCCAGAATTTTTATCAGGAATAACATGGCTGTGGCGCCTGGGTGGCTCTGTCGGTTGAGCCTCTGACTCTTGATCTCAGCTCAGGTCTTAATCTTAGGGTCACCTTGTACTCCACACTGGGCATGGAGCCTACTAAAAAAATAATAATAGAGAGGAAAGAAAAAGAAATCACATGACTTTCATAATTAAGTGGGGTTTTTAAAAATGGTGGTATTATACAAACATAAAACTTACCATTTTAACCAGATAGCTAAGTACACTTACAGTATTGTGCAACTGTCACCACTATCCATTTCCAGAACTCTTTCATCGCCCAAGCTGAAAACCCCTGCAGCCCCTGGAAACCACTATTCTACTTTCCATCTTTTTTTTTTTTTTTTTTTAAGATTTTACTTATTTGACAGAAGGAGAGATCACAAGTAGACAGAGAGGCAGGCAGAGGGAGAGGGGGAAGGAGGCTCCCCGCTGAGCAGAGAGCCTGATGCGGGGCTCGATCCCAGGACCCTGGGGTCATGACCTGAGCCAAAGGCAGAGGCTTTAACCCACCGAGCCACCCAGGTGCCCCTCTACTTTCCGTCTTGAGGAATTTGACTATTTGAGGTACCTCATATAAGTGGAATCATACAGTATTTGTCCTTTTGTGTCTGACTTATTTCAGTTAGCGCCTTCCATATCCATCCATATATGTAGCATGTATCAGAATTTCCCTCCTTTTTAAGGCTCAGTAGTCTACTGTGTGTATGCAGTACATTTTATTTGTCTGTTCATCTACTGATGGATTTGGGTTTTTTCCACGTTGACCATTGTGAATGCACTGCTATTAACATGGGTCTATAAATACCTGTTTAAGAACCCCTGCTTTTAATTCTTTCAGGGATATACTTATGAGTAGTAGAATTGCTAGCTCATACAGTAATTCCGTTGAATTTTTAAGTCTCTCAGTCTTTTCGTCTCAGAAACCATGCTTTTTTGCCCTTTTGTAAGTGTCCTAGGTTCTTTTTTTTTTTTTAAGATTTTATTTTATTTATTTATTTGATATATCACAAGTAGGCAGAGAGGCAGGCAGAGAGAGAAGGAGGAAGCAGGCTCCCTGCCAAGCAGAGCGCCCAATGTGGGGCTCGATCCCAGGACCCTGAGACAATGTCCTGAGCTGAAGGCAGAGGATTTTAAGACACTGAGCCACCCAGGAGCCCCTCTTTTTTTTTTTTTTTTTTTAAGATTTTATTTAAGGGTCCCAGGGTCTGAGCATAGCTTGAGCCCAGGCACTAAAGTTGAGTGCTTAAGTTGGTAAGCAAGAATTCGTGACCGCCTGAACAGCTCCAGGTCAACAAGACAGACAGAGCCTCATGCTCAGAAATCTTTCCTGCTGTCAGGACAAATTCTTTTCATAAGGGAAATTCAGAAGACCAGAATTCTGGAGACCTGGGATTATACTAGTAGAAATATGGAATTTGAAGAGTCCTCTTGTAAAAAGTGTCACCAGCTGATTATCTAGCCAGGATTTGGGGAGCAGGAGAGATGGAATTGAACTGTATGATCGCAGGAGATTAAGTGGAGGTGGAGATGAAAGGGGAATGGAAACGACCCCAAAGACAGACCCATTCTACTTTACTATTTGTTCTATCAGCCTACTAATCTGAAGCATGCCAGAGCTGGGTGAACGCTTGAGCGGGAAAAAATATTGAGCTGCACAAACTTAGAGGTTTATTTTCAAAGGATGACCAAGCAGTCTGTTGTACCATCAATCAAGAAATACAATGCAGCTTCCCAAAGTTGTTTAGAAAAGTAAATAAAATAAATAGCCGAGGATACCACTGGTTGAACCTGCAAATCCTGTCAGTAGACCCATGGAATTCTAAAGAGATGGTTGCCTGGCAACCAGTATAAACCGCTTTGGAACCTAAGAAACCAAGAAAGTTTTAAGATGCAGAACCTTGCTTCCCCTTGAAGACTGGGCTGAGGGAGGCCATCTTGAAGGTAACTTGAAAACACTGCTACTTTACCAGTATCTGAAAGGAGCTTTTAGCATCAGCTGAATGATGAGAGGCAGTCTGAAGTTGTAGAAAACACTTTGGATTAGGTGTCGAAAGGGTCAGGATTACTTCAGGGATTAACCAGTACTGTGATCTTCATTGTGTCTCTTCCCTCTGACCTCAATTTGAAATCTGTAAGATAAAAGGGTTAGAACAGAATAATGTTTATGGCAGAGTTTCTGTAGTAATCTCAGGAGACCGTAGTAGATCTGTGTGAGTGCATGGCAAGGAACAGGAATTAGAAAGTAGAGGGGGAAGGGGCACCTGGGTGGCTCAGTAGGTGAAGCCTCTGCTGTCCACTCAGGTCATGATCTCCGGGTCATGGGATCAAGTCCCGAGTCGGGCTCTCTGCTTGATGGGGAGCCTGCTTCTCTCTCTCCACCTGCTTGTGATCTCTTTCTCTGTTTCAAATAAATAAATAAAATCTTAAAAAAAAAAAAAAGAAAGTAGAGGGGGGAAATGAAGGAACTTTCTGATGAGAAAGGCAGCAGGGGGAGGGGTCTGAAACAAGCCAGGTTAAGAGGCTGTATTCTCTGATCCTGCTCTCCCCTCACCACCAAGCTTCCTTCATAACCCCCACTGATA